GGATGCCCACTCGACCCCGCCCCCTCTCCGCTCTCGCTTTCATCTCCGTCATCTGCGTCATCTCGGTCCTCCAACCACTGCCTTCGAGGATCGCTGGGCGCCTCTCAGGGCAAAAGCAAGGCCACAGAAGAAAGTAGGAATCAGATCAAAAAAGGGCTCACACCAGAAGTTGCCGATCCTCAAAGCATGAAAATTCACTGGCTTTTGAGGTGATTTGCTTTTGGGGGCCCCACGTAGGTCTTTTCGGGCGGCAGAATCCGGTTCTGCAGCGGGAAGACCCACTCAGCCACCGACCTCAAAGACTTGAGCACTTAAACCCGCACGCACCCGCGTATATCCGCGTCCCCTGGCCTCAGGGAGTTGGCACTACTGCAGTAGATCAGCGAGGCGTGGGAAGCTGCGGATTCGAAGCCTCAGACGCTCAGAAATCTCAGAATCAGCATCAAAATCAGCTTTGAGAAGTCGTGTGCATAGTCTGTGAGCTGTTCAAGCAGAGGGCTAATCAAGGTCCCAGAGTTCACGGATTGGCTGGTGGCTGGCCGAGGGTCCTCAGAGGACGAAGCAGAGATTCGCAATTCTTTCCATTTCTGCCTTTTTCCATTCTTCGCTTTCTGGCCATTCTGCATTCGCCGCCTTGTTGGCCTCGCGCTCCTCACGTTCCTCACCTCCCCAACCCACTTTGCGGACCTCCAGACAGCAGTTCTCGAAGATGCTGCCAATGCTTGCAGCATGTCAGTCACTTCGGCTTTGGCATCTCAACGTTCCGCCTCGCTGCTCAGCTGCTTCTCCAGGCTTTGGCACCTAGTTGCACGGATAATTGCACGCACTTGCGCAGTGTCAGCAGTGCTTCGGCCACATTTGGACAAGATGTTTCGCTCTCAAAGCGTTGGGGTGGATTCAAAAAACCTTGGAAGTGGAGCACTCCGAAGGAACCAGTGGTGCCTGAAGCCCTGTACTTTGAACATAGGGACCGTTCACGCTGCCGAAAGGGCAGACCTATAGAAATGAAAAGCCTCCGATCCTCCGGGTGATCTGTGCTTCAAAGAGTGGAAAGGGGGGAAGAAAGAGCAGAAAAGACACCGAAGTGAAGAGAAGTGAAGTGAAGTGTCCGAGGCCCCGAGCCGGGTGGCCAAAGCCTCTCGGAGCTTCGTCTGCTCCGCCAGGGCCTGGCTCTTGCCGCGAGACCCTCTTTCTCTCGCTCTCTTTCTTCGCAATTCTCACCTTATACTTAGACAGCTTCCCACTGCATATCACTTCACTTCCTATCACCTCGTGGCACCGCCATTTTGAATCCAAAAGCAGTGACTGTGCCAACTGGTATGGGCCGATACAGTGCGCGGGTACACTTACAACACTCTGGCGGTCCCACGCACCTGCGCATGCAAATGGCGCGCCATGCTGGACAGATTCGTGCATCTGCTTCCAGGATGCTGTGAGCAGTTAAATCGTAGATCATGTTCGCTGGGGTGCTGCATGGTGCTGCAGCGCTGCCCTGCAGTCTTAGACTTTTGGGAGTTCCTTGAACTTCAGCTTCATGAGCATGGTGCAGCATGATGCAGCATGATGCAGCATACGCAGATTGATTCGTGCAGGACCATCGCCTCGCATCGCAGTCAGAGTCATAGTGACTTAGTCGTGTACAAACGGCGTCTATCAACCCCGAAATGCATAAAGCAGGATCAAGGAGAGGAAAAAAAGGCCCCGTGATGAACTTTCTCGAGCAGCATGCGAGCTTCCCTTCCTGAAAAGATATCCAGACCCTCTTCCTGTACTTGCTGTGCCACAGCGTTGACATTCGCCATCCCAAGGAAGTGTTAAGGCAGCGAGCGGCGTCGCAAGGAAGTGTTAAGGCAGCGAGCGGCGTCGACGTACAGGTCCGTGGGCTTCACAAATCTCAAGGAATCCTACGAGTTCTAGAATGGCTGCTAGATCTCTCAAGTCAAGACGGGACCTTCCTCTCAAAGTGTAAAAGCGTGAGCAGCTTCTGAGCAGCTGGAACTGTCTGGCCGGGCCTTCTCGGTTCAGCATGTGTCCCTTTGTCTCCCTGTCTGCTCCACAGCACCCATCCTGCTTTCTTTCGACTCAGCTGGCCAGGCCCGGCGCCAACGCCGAGCTTCCTCAGCTTGACTCGAAGGCATCGTTTGCTTCGCGAATCTTTTGTCTGCTTTCGTTAAACAGTGGAGGGCTGTCTTCGCGAGCTTGTCCTTCGAAGCTGCGGGTCTGAGTCTTAGCCCAGCAAGCCGGTCTTGTGCTGCAGCCCTGTTGCCAGTCTACGGGCCACGAATGCACAAATGCTGCGAGACCTCTCCCCTGACAGTTTGGCCCCAGACACCGAAGAAAGGAGAGAGAAATATGAGGAGAGAGAGAGGTGGACTTGCTACGCTTGCTACTGGCTTTGGGGGGACCTCGGCCAGCTCCGCGAGCTCTGCAGACAGCACGGCCGTCCGCTCCTCACAAAGAAAGAAAGGTGAACTGAAGGTCTTTTGTCCTTTTCTTAAAATTCTACTCATTCCTCATTCCTTCCCGGCTTTAAGAAGGCTTTAAAGCGAGCGCCTGCTCAGCGTGAAGCTGTTGAGGGACTCCCTCCAGCTCTTTACACCTTCAGCTTCGTCCGCTTCTTGAGGTTTACGTGGGGAGAAACTTCCATCGGCTTACGAGACCTAGCACCTAGCCTTCTCTCCAGGGAGGACCTTTCCTGCAGCAGAGCAGAGAAGAAAGCGACAAAGCTCAGAAGCTCAAAGCTTCCTTTCAGGCTTTCAGGCCTGAGCCGCTGCGCGCGCCTCGCGTTCCTTGTCCTGGCACACTGGCACAATTCCAGCTGAGAATTCGCAGATGTTCGCGGCATTTCGCAACTTCCGTTTCTGTCACCTCCAGCTGCTTTAGCAGCTCAGCGTTCGCCGCACGGAGCCTCGTCAGCTCATCGGCCTTGGAAAGCGCAAGCTGAGATTCCCAGCTGACATTCCAGGCATGCTACAGCGCCTGCTGCGCCTTCGTGGCGGTCTCGTTGGCCCCATTGGCCTAGAACATGAAAACGTGACGACTCCGTGGCCTCTTGAAAACATTGACGGCAGGACGAATCGCACACGACTCGCACACCGAATCGCAGACTCGGGCAGAGGCAGAGGGGAGTTCTTTGGACTTGGATCGGACGACGACCTTGGAGTGCGCGGAGATTGGCCTTGGCACATCATATTGGCTATCTCGAGGCGCACAATGCCCGAGAAGGAAAACAAAAACAAAGTCGCACCTCTTCCGCGCCACCTCCGCTTCGGTCCTAAGTTCAAAGAACAAAAACGTTGGGTTTGCTTCCGGCCTTCCGAACATAACTACAGGTTCATCAAGCACGAGTTGCAAAATGCATCAAAATGCAATCACATCCCCTCACCTACTATCGCTCTCGAATCCCTCGGGGCACGGACGGTGAGATCGAAGCGGGGCTGGGCTCACGGGTGGCGGTCTCCACGACCTGCGAAGCAAGAAGAGTGAAACGCAGCTCCTCTTTCCGTGGGGGATCGGATTCCACAACTGAAGACCAGTTTGGGTTCAGCTGCCTACAAGTTCCTGGATGGCGCCTGAATAGGGCAGGAGCTTTGCGACGCCACCAGCCGGACGCGTGGCAAGGAGATCCGTTGTGTAAAGCTATCCAAAAACTATCTGGAGGTGCCCGAGTTGCAGGGCTGCTCAACGTGTGAAGCCTGGACACGCCCGGGGAGAGCGCAAATAATGCTAAGGATGCACAGTCTGGCAAACGTGACCGCCCCATGCATGGGCATGGCTGTTATCGGTTACGTTCAGAGATGAAGTTCAGGGGAAGCTCTGAACATCTCGCAACGCTGAAGATCAGCAAGCCACCGAACAGCATCGTTCAAGGTCAACATATCCGCTCTGAAAGCAAATCAACTAAGGGCAGCGAACTTTTCTCTACGCAGACATAAAGCTCAAGGCCTGCAGGGCAAGCGGTAACGTTCAAGGAGGCATCCAGGAATGCGAACTGACTTTATCAGCCCCCATAAAAATTCTGTTGGCCCGCAGGCAGGTCAATTCTTGACCTTCTTTCGATGCTCCGACTGCTTTTCCCGAGAAATGATGGTCTCCTCTAGCTCGATGCGCAGCGCATTGTTCTGCATCATTCGAAGGAGAGGTTCTCGGTGAGCGGACTCTGTCTTGGTCAAGGCATCGGAGGGGTTATGGTTATGAGGAACCCATCGAAGTCGACCTTGGCATTGCGCAAGGCTCTCTTGTATTATCGCGATTTCGAGAGCACTTCTGGAATCTTCACCCTGGGCCTGTTCGGTGTTGGCCCCATCGAAGAGTGATTTGGCATCGGTAATAGCCACTGTCAAGGGATCAGAATAGCCCGCAGCTTCGCTAGCGATGACTGTACCTGGTCCTCGGAGTCCCAAGGCCGCATCGTCAGAAACAGCGATGGATCTTGGGTTGAAATGGCTTTGCGTGATGCTTTTCCAGAAAGCAATTTGCTTTTCCATCGCCCCGAGAGCAGTACTCATTGCAATGCTCTCGCACAAGAGCGTATTTCCAGCCTTGCGCCGCAGCTTCCGCGAAGTCCATGATATCCACGAAATTGGTGCGATCTTGCCGGCATTCAGGTCTGGAGTCGTCACCGCCTGGATGTATCCGTGTTGTGGCTTGACTTTTCCACTCGGATCAAAGGAGGAGTCAGCGATAAGGAGATGCCTGATCTCCTCTCATCGATCGCATGAATCTTCAAGCTTACTTCGCGTTCTTTGAGAAGGCCAATGGAAGTGTTGACGGCTATGGCGTCGGCTACAGTAGGGTCCGGGAACGAGCCTGCGTATATGCTTGCCGCTGCCGATCCATCCGGCCTCCCTTCACGCGAAGCCCAGTTTAAGGGTGCCAGAGCACCCCTCAACTGCTGTTCTTCGTCAGCAGTTAGCCTGGTGTTGAGGGCGTCCTTCTTCAGGATCTTGCGCTCAAAGCGGATGAACTTCAGGCGGTCTCTCACATATTCATCCATCGAAAACGTGTAGGAGAAGTCTGAGAGTTGACGGATCTTCCGGCCTGCGTAGCCGGTTCCTTCCTTCACTCCCATCAGCTCGACGACCTTGCCGAACTTGAGCTTGGACTCCAACCACTTCATCTTGGCGCGGTGCTCGGACGAGCCAGCCTCTAACAAGTCGTCGACCTCAATGACAATGATGCCTCTTGTGCGGTGGTACGTCTGGCCGTACACAGTCACTTGCTCTTCAGGGTCATTGATGAATGTCCGCGCCTGTCATAGGGGTTGACGCGGTACTTTAGCTCCTTGACTAAGAGCTCAAGCAGGCTTCTCCTCCACCAGGCCGGACCGGAAACGAGACCATAGACCTCAGTCAACAGCAGGATCAACTGCTCGGCTTCGTATCTTGGAAAGGACTCGTCCGAGGGCATTCGGCAGGCAAGGCGTTGTCGTCTCGTCGTCGGTTTGGCCAGCAAGAATGCAGTCTTAGCATCCTTTGCAAATCCATGCCAGTGCCGGGTTGCAGAAAGTTGGCAGAAGACGTAGAGGCTGCTGGTCAACGGCGTTGGAGCTGCTCGTTCGATCTCATGTATGTGGGGATCACGCCATCCGACCACACACCAACGGCTTTTAGGCTCAGCCGCATTGATTCCTTCCCACACATACGTCTCGGGATCCCAGTGCTCGGGAAGCACTGACGAGTCACCAGTAGGTTTCCACCGATCGACATATCGACTGGTGAGGACATAGTCGGGGAACTTCTCGGCGAACTCTCGAGACTCCTTGACAGACAAGATCTTAATCGCCCCGGACTTCAGGAGGCTATCAATCTCCTTGTTCCGGCTCTTCCTGAAGATCTTCTTGAACTTCTCCGGAAGGTCCTTGAAGATTACCTCTCCAGGGCTCACTTTCTTCTTGGTGATGAAGAACAGGCGCTCGCTGCTGGAGAAAGTCGCCGCCGAATCCTTGAGGTGAAATTTCTCCTTGGACGTGGCGATGGGCTCCCAGCGGTTATACGCCTTGTTTCTCCACAAGCGAACTCGGTCGTTCTCATCCATGGCCTCCATGAAGTAAGTCGAAGTCGGAGGTCGTGGAAGTGATGGAGGTTGATCCACAAAAGGGTATGGAGTCGGGCGCGGTGTCTCTGGAGATTGTCTGGCTGGTCCAAAAGGCCAGGAGCCGCCAGTGGCTTCATCCACTTGTATGGTGCTTGGCCTTCGAGGGCTCAGGAGTCGCCGAGGCAGTCGGTGCCATGGTGCTCTGCTCGTCTGGAACAGGTGGAGAAGGAGATACTGCAGCACCTGGAGGAGGATCGGGTGTGTCAAGCGCTTCTGTTCTTGATCTTCTTCTTCAGGAATGGGAGGCAGGTCCACTAGCCCTGACTCTCGAGGAGGGTGGTCTTGAGGGAGTAGCTGAGGAGGATGGTCCATCTCCATGTCGTCCGGATTGGATTGGTCCTCCTTCCTGCTCGATGTCCTTGAAGTTCTTCAATCGGCCGTTCTCCAAGTTCTTGAGGAGCTCCGTCGAAAGAACTGTGATGAGGTCCGCGCCCAAGCTCTCGTCCGAGGTGGCACGTCAGACCTGCTCTCTTGAAGCTTTGACCAGGTATCCTCGTACGCTCACCCAGAGCGAGCGCTGGTTTTCGCTCTCCAACCTCAAGTTGTGATTCAGGACAAACCGAAGTGAACATGCTATGGCTTAGCCCCTGCTGTCCAAGTTGTAAGGACTGAGACTCCAGCTCCTCGATGGCCATCTCACATGCCCGCAACCCGCCGGCACTCACGCCGGTACGTTCAGGACAAAAACTCTCCATCAAAGAATTGTGCCATGGTGCGAGCCGCAGGGCCGTTGCAAGCGGTATTTTGAAGATAAAACAAGCTGCTTGTGTCCCATTCCGACCATACACTGGGGGAAGTAGGATGCCACGTGACCGTTTGCGCTGGTTGCTCAGCAAAAACTGACATGTAGGTGTCAGCCTCGCTCTCTTCATGTAACCGCAAAATGTGTTGAACATGTTCCTCAGCACTGATGCCAGAATTCCACTGCACGCTCAAAACTCAAGGCAACACAACCCTGGAACTTGGGACCCAGGACGGCTCTTTCAAGAAATAATCGAGTGTGGAGCGCAATTCAAGGCAGGGTAGAAGCTTCCTGATCCGTAATACCTGTGCTGAAAGGCAAGATAAATCAGCGGATATTGAAGCTGCACCCACCTGACCAAGTCGGTATGATCAGCCTCCGGCAAGATTTCCTGTGAGTGTTCCAGGACCTCAAGTGCAGTGGCTGAGCTCCAGACTCTGGTCGCCAGGTCAAGAATTGCCCAGGACGAAGCTGTCTGCAGGGGCAGCAAATGCTCCGATAAAACTTCGATAGCTCTGCACCAAATGCGCGTAGCGGGTAACAGCGGAATGGTTACAAGCAGATATGCCACCAGAAAACTGATCTTCGCTCTCGTGGACAGGCAGCACGTCTGAAAACACCAAACTGCTCCAAGCTGAAAATCCAAGCCAAGAAATTGCCAAGCAAGAAAAATCAAGACTCTCCAGAAAATCAGCAGCTGAAAAAGAATTCAAGCCAACAACGATGCTTGAAGACTCCTATGGCTTTAGTTACCCACCGCTAGCTACGAGACCAGTCTACAGAGACAGGCCCTTCTGAAAGCACCACACGGCCGTGTGATACCCCCAGGAACTGGCAAGCTACGCCCTTCCCACTCAGGAAAATAAAAACAAGCTTGAGCCGTAGATGCTTGCGTGAGCTCGTCCCACATGGTGGGGCTAAGTGTATGCCAGCCACGCAGTCACGGGCAGTGAGATCCATCAGGATTGCAAGAGAGCCAGGTTGGCAGAGGACAAGGGTTATAATGGGTGCCCTAGCAAGAGGACTAGCAACCTTATCAACCGCTAGGGACTGGGAATAACCACACTGCTTAAGGGCACGGCACAGGCCAGCTGAACCAGCAAATATCTCAATGAAGACGAGGTCCTTGCAGGATTTGCCCGACACACGGGACCTCAAACGCTGAAGAAACTCTTCGGTTTTGGGAGCAACGCTGGCCGGCTCAGGAGGAGGTGCGCAAGTAGAGGTTTGCAGCAAGTGTTTGGGCAAAGGAAATCCCGTGGATTGTAGAACCTCGTGGTCGCGCGGATTGATGCTGCGCAGACGATCTACGGAAAAGGCAACCAAAACCAGACGTGTACCCTTCCACGGTAGCGTGCAATGATGTTGGCTGTAAGCTGGAAATTGCAGGTACGGCCGCACAGACATGTTAGTACCGGTCAAGGGAGTGCCATCAACCACTTGGATGTCTGTGCCGGGACCTTCCACCCAAAGGCCACCCTCCTCGAAATCGCTGATTGGAATTAGGAGGTTGTCCACTTTCGCATTCTTGGAATCTTTGTGGACGCCAGCGCGGATGTCCTGAAAGAGACTGATGCTGCTGTACTCGAAGTCGGGTCGCAGGCTGCGTACAACCTGATTCAGGAAAGCGCAAGTTACAGATATTTTCGGCTCGCACTGCGAAGTCCCACTATGCCACCTTTGGCATAGCAACCAACGGAGAAGGATTGGGCATGGGGCGCCTCAAATTTTGGCAGGAGGCGGATCCTTCTCAAGAAGGGAGAATAAATGCTCAACAGATGTTCGTGAAAAATTGTTCTCTTTCAAACACTGACATGCAAAGCTTTCAGCTGGGTCTAGGTCATTTAATTCAGCTTTGGCGCAAGGAGGCGGCACAGCAGCAGAACACTGGGGTTCAGCGAACTTGCAGGGCCGGCTGTTGAAGCATGAGAGCTAGTCCTGGCTGACTTGCACACAGGCCCCTCTGAAGGTCACTCTTTATGGCGCTTGGGGCAGTCAAGCACTGCATGATCTGCATCACACAGGAGACACACATGGACACCTCGCCTACACATGCCCCCTGGCTTTGAGAACTGGCACTTCTTGCAGTTGAACCCCCAACACTTGTTCTTATTTTTGGCGGTTTTGAACCTTAGGTTCGGGATGTTCTTGAGCTCATCAGGAAGACGATCCTGCAGGTTGGAGGAGCTGGCAGGCTCCTTGTTATCACCTTTCCTCTTGTTGCCGGTCTTGCCGCGACCACGTCCCTTGGGGCCCTGCAGGGGCAACGGCAGCAAGTGGAACAACACAGTCGGATCAGCTGTGAGGGCCTTGAGTGCAGCATCCATTGGCAATGATCCATCGGCAAGGGTTTTTATAGACTTGCAAACCTCCGCCATGCGGAGCCACGCCTGTTTGAAGGATCTGTTCTATGGTGGGTTTGCGGAAGCCTGGGGGCGCAGGTTGAAGCATGCAATCCATCAGGTATTGACGCCACTGTTCAGACACCTCATAGCTGGCGACATGCATGAGGTCCAGAGCAAGCGAACGTCTCTGCATGGCTTGGAACAACTGCAGTTCGTTCTGTATGGCACAGCGCTCCCTGGAGACAGGGTCCCTGACAGACAACTTTGAATCTTGCACAAGAACGAGCTCCTTGCCTCGCTTTTCCTTACCCACTTCTTGGCTTCGCGTGATCATCTTCTGAGGGTCCAGATAGATGACGGCGTTGGCATCAATCAGCTCCTGAACCATGGTGTAGCAAGCGTAACCACACTCAAGGAAGCCGGTGAGGTTCATCCCTTTAAGCCGCCCTTTTTGGGCTGCTATGCGGCTATCTCTTTCCGCCGGCACTAGTTCCTGACACTTGTCATGTCCCCCATCCAAGGCAGTCTTGACAAAGGCAACTGCCAACGTTTGGGCCTCAAAAGATGAGGCGCCTCAAGGCAGCAACTGATGCCAGGTCGACACCGGCAGGGTTGGCAGAGTTCAAGAGTTTGCGAATAGCATCCTCCGCAGGAGGACTTCCAGGCACCGTCAAGCAATAAGCCAAACCTGATAAGGTTCTGATGCCTTGGCCAGTCAAAGCCGTCAGATTCGTATCCGACAAACCACACGCTTCGGCATGCTCTTTAAAAGCCGCCTCGCTTGAGAGAAGGTCCGCCATCTTGAACCACAAAATCCTGCAGCGGGAGCTTGTTACCAAACCTGCCAGTCTCAGCGTAGCAATCGGATAAGATGGATCAAAGTGCATCGCTCTAGTCATTAACGCAAGCAAACACCTCAGACAGGATCAAGGGTCTCATAATTCGTGCCGACAAAGCACCAGCCGACAAGGCGATGTACAATTCTGAGTAGCATCAAAAGATGTAACACAAAGCCGACATGGCAGCATGATTTCAGCTCACCAAAACAACCTTGCTGCACGACATGCGCCAACCCGACAAGGCTAACGCAGGTTGCTGGCCAGGCGTAGGAAGTTCCCCTTGGCATGCGCACCGCCCGACCAGGGTTGTTGCCCGACCAGGGCACGAGTGTGGTGCGAAAAAGGGGGGGGGGGCGGAGCCCCCAAACTTCCTTTTACTCTCGAGATCGCTTCAAGATGCGGTCCAAAACTTCGTTGAGCCCACTTATGTCCTGCGCAGGGCGGCCAGCCGAACACTGCTTGCACATCCACTTGGCAACCATGACTGAACTCTGGCACGGCTGGTGATCTTTGGTCTTAAGGCGCCCACACAAGAATTTGGTCCACTGGCTTCCCAACGGAGCAACATGAACCGTCATGGTCCGGGAATGTCTGAAAAGTGGACATCCACACGGGCCGAACCTGCTGGCTGTGCTCTCCTGCATTCTGGACTGACCTCCGGGCTGGACGAAGAGTCATCGCTCGAGCTTTCACTTGAAGAGGAAGCCAAACCTGCGTTGTACCTGGTTCCTGAACCAACGAATCCTGATTGAAATCCTGTTCAAGAGGCCTTCATCACGAGGGCACGAGGGTTCAGGCTGAACTGATGCCGGTGGACTAGGAGGAAGGAGTATTCCTTGCCATCACACACACTACCTGCTGGCAGGCTGACAGGCGAATTATGCTGGTTGAGGAAGTCTCAAACTCGCTGGGCACGGCACACGCAAGACCAGACTGCTGACGGATCTGCTCACACCATGCCTTCTCATCGCTGTTGCTGTCAGGCAGCTCGCATGACGATCGCACGACTTCGAAGCTGCTTTGAACCTTCGCGCGAAGTCCAGAAGCCAGATCTCGTAAGATCCGGTTGGAAATGGCCTTCCCTAATGCACTCCAAGAGGGAAACCAACTCTTTTAGGGGACCGCTTTGAAGATCCCGACTATAAGCGGCCACAGATTTGCGGCCACCCAAAGAGTGTGACCAAGGATCGTGCGTGTGTCCATACCTAAATTTGCTTTAGCGCACCAACTAAGGCAGGTAGCCTTCGCTGAATGTCCAGTGATACCTGAGCCCATATTGGGATCAGTGGCTTGAAGAATGGTACGCACCCACGAAGCTAGAAGATCTCCCCTTATCGGGACCTCTGACCATGTTCCCACGCCAGTAGGCCTGCACAAGAAGGGGGACCCATGCTCGATGGAGGTGAGAGGCCTCAAGGCTTGTTCACACGCACTGACGAAGCCCTTTAGCCAGCACACCTCGCTGACCCCTTTGGATGGAGCAACAAGATTCAATTGCAGCCCCAGGGCAGCACTCATTGCACGCGTCTTGTGAGAAAGACTCACCAAAAAACCGTTAGACCAAGCAGGGTCATCAGGGGATACATCCAAGGTGACTTTGGCTACCTTATGCAAATCTCCCAACCTTGCTCTTGCAAACAGAGCAAACAAGAATGATCCCACGCCCACTCGATCAACCGCTGACACGCGATCGTCACAAACAAATTTTTCAAGAACCAAAACCTCAGCCACAGCCAGGGCCCTGGCTTGTCGCCTAGGCTGGCGATTCACACGGTGTCTGCGCATAAGACCCTGCACAAGGGGTGAGGATAGGGCTCCATCTACAGAGTCAACACCAAGCGCATGTGCCATGAAGTTCAAGCACTCAACCGCACGGATCCTGGAAAGCGAACGGTTCCTTTGCTCAAGATGCGTGAGATAATTGAAGACTGTGTCTCCTCTGAGAGGGAAGGCCTCATGGCCATTGTTCTGACACCACAAGACAAAGGAATAAACCTGCGAAGACCTTTTCTTGAGAGTTGACAATGCTTTCCCCCCCAAAGCGGTGGCAACAAGCTCCAGACGCTTAGGCCGTTCATGCACACACAGGATGCGGCCCAATGATGAAGCACTGTAGTTACACGCCAAGGACATCTCAAACCTCTGAACACACAAGCTGAGCTCGTCACGCGGTCCGAGTTTGCTTCTCACATCAGGAGGCCTACAAGAGACATTCATGTAATGATTGCTGGCAGAGCTCACTCCTGATACCTCCGGATCTGCACTGCATTCACCAGCTACCACACTGCGTGACTCTGAACACTGGATCAAGCAAGCTAGTCGAGCTCCTGAAGAGCTCGGGCGCGGAAGGCACCTGAAGACGCTCTTCCAGGTCGCCTACTCTAATATGGCTTATGCGGTGCAAGAACGTGCGCTGCTGGCGCAACACGGCAAGGACACGCAGCAAGGTGCGCCTAATGGTTTCAATTTGCCGGGCCAAGGTAGAATGCTGGGCCTGCAAGTCTACCCACAAGGCTTCCAAGCGCTGGATACGAAAGGCGTACCAATTGTTCTGGCGCTCTTGCTCTCTGAGCCGCTCTTGAACCGCGCTGACTTGAGCACGCAGATCTTCCATGCACCGAGGTGGCTCCCCCTCAGCGTGCACGCACCCTAGCGGTGAACTGGTGTTTACGCACGGCTGACCAAGCCAAAACTGCAGATTGCAAAGAATCAATGCAGCCAACAAGGAATCAAGCTTCGACAAGAAAACTTGAAAACTTGAGACATGCCATGGAGCAAATGGATGTGCTGAAATTTTGGACAACAAAATTTCACGCGTGTTTAGAATAAAGTGATATCGCACCTCCGGTGTGAGATCATCCGGGAACTCTTGGCCTTGCGCATTCTTTACCTTCTTCGCCTTCTCGTCCACTTGAAAGGATGTGGTTGCCGTAGATGACGGGTCTTCCTTGGGGCGCTGCCATCTCGAACCGCAGTCCGCGCATGTCCACCAAGTTGCCTTGCTGTTCGCTCGGCAACGCAGAGCGTCCGATCGATGGTTGCACTCTGAAGGTTCCTTGTTGAACTTGGCATGAGCTTTGGATCGGGCCAGTGGCTTGTCCAGACCCTGGTTGATTGGCGCATCTTTCGCCTTCTTCTGGCCCTTGAACGAGGACGTTGAAGACGATTGAGGATTCAGCTCCGGCTCGTTGTTCTTCTTGACCAGTTGATCGACCACCATCTGCTGTCGCGCGGTCGCCAACATGAGGAGGATAGTCTGAGCCATTCTTTTCCAAGTTGCCAAAGCTCGCTGAGTGCCCAGCCGACGTTGGGGCTGAGGCCCTGATGCCATGTCTTCGAGGATGACAGGGAGGACAAGCTTTGGACTTCAAGATCCAGCTGCTTAGATGCTGCATATTAGCTATCGCTTGCGCAAGGAGCTCAGGTCTGTCCAGAGGACGAAGGATGGCCGCAACCTGATCGAATGTCAGCAACTGGCTATGATCTCTTAAGGCAAGAAGCTCATGCTGAAACTCGGAAAGATTGGCTGGTCTCAGCAACACACGACCGGCAACCTTGTCATTCAAGCGTTCTTGAAGATGACTTTCAACTTCTTGTCTCGCGACCTCCTTGCCAGCAATGTAGTTGGCGAACGATTCTCCCTTGGCTCGCTCCCCGGTGTAGAGGAATCTGTCGATCGCCGCAGGACCTGCTACCTCCAGGAAGGGCCTAGACTTAGCGATGATTGAGCTAAGCACCAAGCTGTAACCATCCGCGCTCAACAGCTCTTGCATCCCTATCTGATCTGCAATTTGTCGAGGCTTGGAACCCTCTGGGAACGATTGGTACAAGCGAAGTCCCCACTTCTCTCGAGGAACCGTGGACTCAATTTCCCAGTAGGCAAGCAGCTTGAGCCAGCTTCTCATCGTTGCAGGCTGACCATTCCACGTAGGCAGAGGCCGCTTCTCACCGGAGATCGCCTGGATGAATCTCTCGCCTTGGTCCAAATTCACAGCTGACCTGGCTGGAGGTCCGACACCAAGAACTTCGAAAGCCGAACGAACCTTAGTTGATCCGACTGGAGGCGCAGCGGTAGCGTGTGGATATTGTGCTCCAAGACTGGCGGCGGCCGCAGCAGCCGAAGTAAAGGTGGTAGGCATTGCCGAAGTGGTCCTACCCGAAGCATCAAGAGGATTTCCTTGTGGAACTCCCTGAAAAGAACTGTATTGCATTGAGGTCCTTAAAGGAGTACCCGTAGCCAAAAAGGGGGTGCCAACATTGGCCTGCCCAAAACCACTTCCATATCCCATATTGGGAGGAAAGTTGTACATGCCGAACTCAATGCCTGAAGAAGAGGAACTCTGTGCTTGCGACTGCCACCCTCGAGGATCCATTGGATTGAAGGTGCTTGCCACTCCGGCAGAGCCGCAAGGTGTCGTTGCGTTCCGGAATTGACCGTGAACTTGCGGATGATCAGGTAGTAGACGCTGAACACCATCGACACTGGGAGATCCAAGAACTTGCGGGGAATCAACTTGAAGGGGACCAACTCCGCGCCCAGCGCAGCCGCCGTCGTCCTGACGGTTTGCCGTGGAACGCCTAGCAGCAAACTCTG